TCTAGAGATTTTACAAAAAATCCTGATTTTTAAATTCTCTAGAAAAGTCAGAATCTGGCAACACTGGCCCCTAATTATGCTGAGTCATGGCGAATGGCCCCTGGTCCCTGGTCTGCCTCAGTTCCCATCCTTCCATGTTAATCCTGACATCAAGGCTGAGTGTCTGGTACCACCTGTATTACATTTATTCCTGGACCACTTTATGTTGGCTATATGGTCACTGTGTTCGAGTTGATGCTACCTGGTTGGCTTTACTGAGTGTTTGCTCATCTATAAAATTAATAAGTCTGGCCCTGGCCGGTTTGGCTCAGCAGTTAGAGTGTCAGCCCCCGACCAGAGAGTCCCGGGTTCGGTTCCCGCTAAGGGCACATACCTTAGTTGCAGTTTGTCTCCGGCCCTGGTTGGGGTTGTATGGGTGGCAACCACTCAATGTGTCTCTCTCATATTGATGTTTCTTCTCTCTTCCTCATCCTCTCCCTCCTGCTCCATCTGAGGATAAAAATAAAAAATTAAAATTAATAAGTCTTACCTTGGAAGATCTTGAGAAAGATTAGATAATTGCAAGAGGTTTGGCATATAGGAGGCACTCAATAAATTTATCCTTTGCTTTCTCTTGGCTGTATAGTATTCTGTTGCATGGCCATACATAATGTGTAGTATTCCTCCAGTGATGGACATGTAAGTGAACTTCAGTGTCTCCCTGTTTCACACAAGGCTGGAAAGAGCATCCATGTACATGGTACAAAGTGTTGCATGGTAGTTAAGAGTGTATTAGCTCCAGATTTGAATCCCAGCTATGTGACCTCTTTTTATCTCCTATCCTCTTAGAATGATAGAGATGAGAGGGTGGGTGGGATGACCTCAGAATTCATTTGAAGACATATCTGCAAAGTTTTCCACAGAAGGACTGGAAAGTCACAAATGGGTGCAGGGGAAGATGCAAGAGTCTCAAGGCCCCTTCTGCAAATGTGAGAGCTAGTATGCCCTATCTCAGGATCTCTCTACTGCTAGGGTGTGAAGCCAAAGGCCAACTCATTGCATCTGACAGACTGATGGCTGGGCGGTCTGGGGAGATGAGATAAGTGGGTGTCAGGCAGAGGGAGGGAGGTGTCAACCACAGAGCAAAGTAAGGTGAGAGTATTGTCAAGTGGGTTGAGCTCCCCACCCTCAACCCTGTCCTTAGAGTCCACACTAAGCTGCTTAACCCTCTGGACCAATGATGGGCTCCCCCTCCCCCGGACTCCTTCTCTGGTGCCCTTCAGAAGTATCCATGCAACAGAACTCCGTGACCCACGCACTAAGCCGGCCCATAGAGCAACTTGCTGGCCTCAAGTTTGGAGGTGGCAGTGGTTATGGACTGAAGATTTTTTGAGGTTTTCAAAAAGGAAGTAGGGCTTCTGGCCATAGTTTAATTCCTTCTCTTTATTACTATGTAAGCCAGCCTGACACCCTTAGCTCTACTTTGCTTCCCAAACCCCAACCCTAAAATAATAAGCCCTGATAGTTACACACCACTTTCTATTTCAGCAATATCCAGCAAGACTTCTGATTAACTGGATTGTAAATTCCAAGGTCTGGGTTATGTTTCTATGGACTATATTCCCATCAATTAGTCCAATGCCTGATATTAGTTGTCAATCAAGAAATATGTGAATGACACCCTGGCCAGTTTGGCTCAGCAGTTGAAGTGTCGGCCTATGGACAGAATGTCCCGGGTTTGGTTCCCGCTAGGGGCACGTACAAAAAAAAAAGAAAGAAAGAAATATGTGAATGAATAAGTGAATGAATGAATAAATGGTAGGTCTTAGAGTGCTTGCAGGTTGTAAGATGCTAGTTCCACTTGTTTGTTTCCCCAGTCCTTAATTTGGGCCTCTGTCCATCTTGATTTTTCTGAGTGTCCTTTGGCTCCTGAAGAGAATCCAGACTCTACTATATCACATTTATGGCTCCTTTTACTTCTTCATAGGTGCCCCTCCAGTGATTCTTCCCTGAGCTCTCCTTCCCTCTGGGGATGTCACAGCCCCAACATGGGTTATGTGACCTTGAGTTGGTCACTTTCCTTCTCAGAATGTCAGTTTTCTTGCCTGTAAAACATGAATAATTGCATTCATCTTGCAGGGTCATTGTGCTGACTAAGTTAAATAAAGCATATCGAAGGGCTTTGCAGGGTCTCTGGCACAGGGTAAAGACAGAATGCCTGGAGCAATTATTATTGTGGTGTGTAGACTGAGGAAGACTGCATTGGATGAGAGCAATGGTCTCCAACCAGGGGTTAATGAACAAAGCAATACAACTGAATGTAGTTCATCTCTCCAATTGTGCTTCCCAGATTCTGGTCTTCCAAAGTAAGCCAGAAACACCAATCACAATTTTAATACTTTTAGGAAGCTGACTTGCAGATACTCACATACCCAGGCTAAGATTGATGTACAATATGAACTGTAACTTACATGTGTCAAGTGCTTGCTCTGGACCAGAGCTTTATGTGAATTATCTCGAGGAATCTTCAAAAGAACTTGTGAGGCAAAAAGTACTATTAACCCCATTTGACAGATGAGAAAAGAAGCACAGAGAAGTTAAATGACTTGCCTTAAGGTCACAGAGCTAGGATTACATCCAGCAGAGCCAATAGTCTTAACAACTCTGCGTATTACCTCCAGGATTTCATTCCTGACTACTATATAGTCAGGAGAAAGCAGGAGGCAGATGTGTATGTTCTGGCATGAAATCATGGCCGTGATAGATTGTTGGATAGAAAAACCTGAAGAACAGTTTGCATCATATAATCCATTTTTATATAAAACAAAATTTTAAAGTCCATCTACCTGTTGATAGGTTCATAGATAAATGCCCAGAAGGATAAACATAAAACATAAACATAAACTGGGAAATTGTGAAGGAGAGGAGCCTCCACTTTTTTGTCTCTATATTCTTTGTTGTTTGAAATATTTACCACTAGCATGTATTATTTTGTAATTATTAATGACATTAATTCTTTAATTAATAATGAATTACTTATTAAGTGTGCAGTAAGCCAGCAGTCTGAGAATCCCTTTCCACATGTTCAGCTCTTGTCCCCTGCTCCAGATGCAGCTTTTTTTCAAAGGCCTCCTTAGTGGCTCCCGCTCAACCCTGAAGGCCACTCAACCCTACATCTCCATGAGCACTTCCCAAGCCCCCTCTGGTCATCGAGGTCTTGCCTTGGCCTGTGTCTCTCATCTGGATCCAGGAACTTCCCAAGTCCCTTGTTAGGAGGCCATGGCTCTACCCCTGTGCTGCACCCCAGCAGATGTGAAGCATGATGACATCACAGTTAGGCCAATGACATCACAGGACCTGAGGGCTGACAGGACAGAGGACCTGGCAGGGCCCAGGATATGGGAGCAAAGAAAAGGGTTGGCTGGTAGAGGCTGTTTCGGGTGGAACTTAGGGACTGTCATCAGCCTCCTAGCTATTCCTTGCCAGGCCTTTCAGGGACGGGAGACCTGGACATTTCCAAGGCCATTTCCCTTTTTGTTTCTAACCAAGAGGTTGTACAGACTTTTCTGAGAGTTGGGAGTAAACTGTGATGCCAGGAGGGGGTAGAGTTGGCACAGAGAAGCCAAGGTGTATATGAATCCTCCTCTGAGATGGGGGGCTCCCTTCGGTGCCAAGCAAGACCCTTGCCCCTTGTGATTCCAACAAGGCTGTAGGGAAGCAGGCTCGTGGCCTGGGAGGCTGGGAGGGCTCTAGTTTTGAGCACTGGAGGTTTGGTGGTTTGCAAGAGGTGCTGGGGGAGGAGCTCCTCCACTGATCTGAAGGATGTGAGAGGGCAACTGGGGAAAGGCTGGGGAAGGTGGTGTGGCACTTGGTACAGTATGTCAAAAGAGAGAGCATGAAGGGTGGTGGTGGAAGTGGGCTGACATTGCCAAGGGACAACAGTATCTGAGGGTTCACATAGAGAGCTCTTGGCTACTTGCTGTTTGACTCGGTGAGTTGCTTATGTTCTCTGAGCCTCTGTTCCTTCATCATAAGGATAATAAAATCAACAACACAGGCTTATTGTGAAAATTACATAAGATAACGCTTATGAAGCTCTTTGCACAGTGCCAGGTACGTAGTAAGCTGCTTGCAAAGGTAGCTATCTACTCTGAGCCAAACCAGCTATCCACTCTGATCCTTGGAATATTCCAGCCTGAGTCCTGTTGCTTCATCTTCTATTCTGGGCACGTATAATGCAGGATTCTTGGTTATAAGCTATAGAAACCGTTTCAGGAGGATTTATTTATTTATTTAATTAGTTTATCTATTTATTTATTTAATCCTCACACAAGGACATTTTTGCATTCATCTTCAGATAGAGCGGTAGGGAGAGAGGGAGGAAGACAGAGAAAATACATGGATGTGAGAGAGAGACATCAAGTGGTTGCCACCCACACAACCCCAACCAGGGCCAGGGACAAACTGCAACTGAGGTACGTGCCCCTAGCGGAAACTGAACCCAGGACTCTCCAGTCCATGTGCTTTTGCTCTAACCGCTGAGCCAAACTGGCCAGAGCCAGGAGGATTTATTTAGTAAAAAATTTTTTAAAATATGTTTTTATTAATTTTTTAGAGAGAGGGGATGGGAGAGAGAAATATCTATGTGAGAGAGAAACATCAACTGCTGCCTTCTGCATGTTCCCAAATGCAAATCAAGTCCTGATGGGGAATCAAGCCGGGACATCTCAGTCCATGGGACGACGCTCAGTCCACTGAGCCACACTGGCCGGGCCATTTCAGGAGGATTTAAAGAGAAAAGAAATTCATTTAAAAGATGTTGGGGAAGCTTGCAGAGCCAGGCTTGGATAATAGACTGCATTGAGGGAGGCTGAGTGCCCCAGGACCAGCCCAGAGAGGATTCTGCAACGCATTCTGACCCTTTTTTTCCTCTGCTGCCCTGGAAATAGGTGTGGCACCATTTGCAGAGTGGAATCTTCATTGAACAGCCACCTCAGGGCCACTGACTTTTTTTCCACAGTATGGATAGGGGCATCCGGTTGACCCAGTCCATGTTGTGTGCCTACATCGTGGGCTGGGGCAAAGAGGTCAGGATTAAGCATGTGTCCATTTGGCTTTTATAATGGGAGGTGCTTTCTGCCTCCCTTCAGACTCACGTGGAAGAAAAGTTCCAAATGCTGGGCACCTAAAAAACCTGGCAAATGTCTACACAAGAAACAAAAAGAAGTAGATAGTGGTCCTTGTTCTTGAGACATAGTCACATAGGAAACAGTTATGTGGGTAAATAATTATGATAGGAAGTGATGTAGGCCACAGTGGCAGTAAGTACCAGCCAGGGGCTGAGCTGGCACAGAAACACCAATAATATGCCCCTGACCCACAGGAGGGAGTCTGAGATGTCCCTGTGTGTTTCAGGCCACCTGGGTGGCACGGCTGGGGTAGAGCTTGATGACTGGTGGAAGCTGTGTCACACTGGGCTAGACACTGTCAGTGCAGGCTCACCAACTGGGCAGGATTTGTGTGAGGCCCCAAGGGGGATGCACCTTCTTCTCCCACAAGAATAATGACATTGCTCAGCCTAAATAGCTGCTTCTTGGAAGTATTTTTGAAAAAATCTAGTCATGTCTCACAAGCATTTTTCTGTGTCGTTGAACTATTTCTTGCCCCGTTGGGGCCTCAGCACTCTATCTGGATTACAGAAAGGATTCCCAGAATAGGGAGATCAGAGATGAAACAGGAGGAGGAAGATGTTGCTTCCTGCCCTCTTCTCTGTGAGATCAGATTCCTGCTGCCTTCTCTGTCTCAACCCAGATCCTTCTATGTTGCCTGCTCTTGTCTCTGCCTGTTCCTGTCCCTTCTGTCTGTCTTCCCTGTCACCATCACTGTCCATTTTTGTTTCAGTTGGGCACCTGTCCCCAGAAGGGCCCCAGCTCCAGCCTTTGAGCCCTTTCAGTCCCTCTCCTGCTTAGGCTTCTCTGAGATCCAGAGATAGTAACCCCTCATTCCTCCTTACCCCCACATACTGAAATTCCAGCGGCCCAGTTCACAGTGGTCCAAAAATCAGCATGTTCAATTGATGACAAACACACACATTTGAATGGAGTATATATCTATGCCAGTCATTTTATTTTATGTATTTATTTATTTTTCCATCCTCACCCAAGGACATTTTTCCATTTTTTGTTCAGATAGAGTGGTAGGTGGAGAGAGAGAGAGAGAGAGAGAGAGAGAGAGAGAGAGAGAGAGAGAAACATTGACATGAAAGGGACACATTGAGTGGTTGCCACCTGCACGACCCAACCAGGGCCAGGGACAAACTGCAACCGAGGTACGTGCCCTTAGCGGGAACCGAACCCGGGTCTCTCTGGACTGCAGGCTGACGCTCTAACCGCTGAGCCAAACCAGCCAGGGCTATGCCAGTCATTTTATTATTCAGTCTATGAAAAGTGTTTGACAGAGATTGCATCTCTGACCCCTTGCAATCCATCCCTGTGGGGCTATTCAGCCACCAAGTGGGAACCACTGGGTTAGAGCTGAACTGTGATGTGAAAACAGGAAGGGATGCTCAACACATCCTTAAAGTGTTTCCAAAACCAAAACCAAAACAAACAAAAGGTCAGCAACAAAAAGTCCTTGTAGAGTTGCCACAGGTGGGTAGAAGCTGGTGGGCGGCTCCCCCTTGTCAGGTCTCACAGGCCACCAAGCCTGCCTGCCCGGTTTCCTATTTGTGGCAACTTCAAATGTAGCACCTTCCTGTCATCTCTTGCACCCGCTGGGCCTCAGCCACAGGCAGAGGCTGCCCGCTTGCCCATCTCCATCTCCGTCCTTCCCCAGCCAGAGGGGACGTCTGCAGAGCCAGGTGAAGAGCCCCATGCAGGAGGCCCCTCCTTTTAGGGTATTTGCTTTGAGATGCGGGGCAGGGTTGGGAGAAGTTGGGAAAAAGGAAAAGTGTCAGGGTCCCCAGGAGCACTTGGGGTAAAGAGAGAAGGGTAGTGATTGAGGGAAGGGGAAGAGCCTTGGGGCATGCGCTGAGCTGAGGTGGTCCCCATGCCTTGTGGCCTTCAATGAAAGGTGGCAGAGAAGCGAGGTGCTGACAGAGCAGACAGCTGAGCACTCAGGGCATCTTCCTGGCAGGCTGGTCAGGGGATCTGAGGGACTCTAAGCCCATTCTCTCAGACTGACCCCGAGAGAGCTAAGTGGGGCAGCCTGGGTGGCAGGACACGGGCTTCTTTAGCTGCCCAGAAGAGCTGTGTGGATGAGTAGGATAAAGGGACTTTGCTTGGTGAGCAGTCCCCCTTGGTGGGGAGCCTGTGGTTGGTAGAGTCATGGAGTCATGAGTCCCTCCCAGCATGGAAGAGAGTGGCCTCTCAATTCCCTTTGGCCCCGAGGAGTCTGGAATATTCCCTCAGATCTCTGAGCTCCTTTGGGAATAACCTTCATGAAGACCTTCCTCTCTCCTCTCTTTCTCAGGGATGGGAATCAGGCCAGCTCTGCTCCTCAGCTCCGAATGGCTGGTCTCCGTTCAACCCTCTTCTTGCACCTACCAGGAGCACATCATTGGCTTCTAAATGTCAGCACCAAGAGTCCTGACACATCAGCCAGTCCAACCCGCCCATTTTGCAGATAGGGAAACTGAGACCAGGAGGGCAGTGATTGGCTCAAGGTCACATGGTAATTTAATGGGAGAACCAGTCCTTGAAGTCATGCTATTTGGAGGAACTTTGCTGTTCACCTGTGATTGGCTTGTCTTCTGAGCAGGTGGTGGTGGCATAAAGGGGGACCTCCTCCAGAATTGGGTTGGTGCCACAAGACCAAGCCCCTGAGGAGCACAGGGAGCATCCTGTCCCTCAGCCTGGACTTACAGCCCTGCCAAGAAGACCGGGTAAGGTGGAATCCCAGGCCCATCTTTGAGGCCAGCCTGCTTATGGAAGGAGGAGATGTTAGGAGGAAGTGGGGAGGTATCTGAAGAGGCCTAGATTCCCATCATCCCCTGGTCCTGAGCACCCTTACCCTAGCACACCATGGGGATGGGCCCTTGAAGTGCCAGAGAACCTCTCCTGTGCCCTAGGGACAGAGTCTCCTGTGGGCCATGAGAAAGGAACAGGGCCACGCAGGAGGCTTGGTTGTACGATCACGGCCTTGGCCTTCGGGCCCATCTTGTGGGGTTTATAGTCTTTTTTTTTTGTTTAATCCTCACCCTAGGACATTATTTTTGCATTTATCTTCAGATAGAGTGGGAGGAAGAGAGAGAGAGAGAGAGAAACATCAATGTGAGAGAGAGACATCGACTGGCCGCCACCCACACAACCCCAACTGGGGCCAGGGACAAACTGCAACTGAGGTACGTGCCCTTAGTGGGAACCGAACCTGGGACTCTCTGGTCCGCAGGCTGACGTTCTAACCACTGAGCAAACTGGCCAGGGTGGGTTTATAGTCTTAATGAGGATTTTCTCCAAGTTCACACTGGCTCCGTTCAAAACAGAGTAGATGGTCTGAGACATAGTGGTACCAGGGTGAGTAGGGAGGTAGGAGGGAGAATGCTAGGTAAGGGATTCTAGGGGCAGAGGGAAGGTAATCCTGGGGTAGGCATGAAAGTCCCTGGGGAAAGAAATCGTTGAGTGAGGGAAAGGGAAGTCATTTGAATGATGAATATAGTGGGAGTGTGTGATCCTTTACTTCTCCTTCCCCTTTCGAAACCAAACCGTGGTGGGATCATCCCAGGAATACAGGAGTCTCAGCCCCAGCCCCTTGCCCCTGCCCTCCAGGTTTTCCCAACCTACAGGTCACTTCCAGAAACAGTGGACATCCACAGCCCATCCTGTGCCAGTTGTCTGTGCCCCTTGTCTCTGGCACTGACCAGGTCTGCCCTACTGGTCTGTCCCCAGGGCCTGGACTTCTACCTATGTACCCTGCAGCTGGCACCCCCAGGCACAGCCCTGCAGCATCTCAGGAAGGACTCCTCGAGCACGAGTAAGCCTAGGCCATGGGGCTGCACCTTGGTGGGGGCTGGACATGGGGGGTACTGTTAGGCTTTGGGATGGGAGGGGGAGGGGACCCAGTGTCACTGATAAGGACATAGTCTCAGGCACACTTAGCCAGCAAATTTTGGCCTGGAGTTCTGACCTAGGGGTGCAGGGGGCTTTCAGGGAGGGTGACACCTGAGCCAGAGGAGGGGGGCAGTGGTTTTCTCAGCCGTGGGTGTGGGATCTGGAGTAGGTGGGTTGAGGATGGATGTCTGTGTGTTTGAGCTAGAGGAGTCTTTATTATGAGTAAGGAGCACTGATGGGAAGTTGGAGGGAGTCCTGGTGCTGCCTTTAGCTTAAAGACCTTGGGAACATCACTGAGGCCAGTTTCTTCTTTCATAAAAGTCAGCTCTCATTATCCGTATGTTCTAGGCTTGTGTTGTAATACACCATTCCCTTATGCCACTGCCACCTCCTGGAGGGCAGGGACTGTGCTGCTGTGTCATTTATCCCCTACCCCCCACCCCCACAAGAGCACAGAGCAAAACAGCTCAGTCAAGTTCGTTGAGTGAATAAATGAAAATCCAAGCAATCTACCTTTTTTCCCCAACCCCCACTCCCCTTCAAGCCTCCCTACGCTCACAATCTACTTTTTAATATTTTGTCTTTTGAGTATTTTACTCTGTATCGCTCCTGCTTAGCTCCTACTTCACTGGCTGTTGCATCTCAGTCCCCCTTGCTAAGCTCTTCTCCACCTACCTCCTACATAGTCACCTGTTCCAAACTCAGTCCAGAGCCTTCTTCTCTCCCATCTCTCCCTTCCACTCGCCTCCTCTCCCGCTCTCTTTATTTAGAGTAGCACTGAGTGATAGAACTTCCTGCAATAGTGGAAACGTTCTATACCTGTGCAGTCTAACACCACGCCGACTGAGCTTTTTTATTTATTTTATTTTTTTCCTCACTCGTGGACATTTTTCCATTTTTTATTCAGATTGAGTGGGAGGAAGAGAGAGAGAAACATTGACGTGAAAGGGACACATTGAGTGGCTGCCACCTGCATGTCCCAACCAGTACTGGGGATAAACTGCAACCAAGGTACATGCTCTTAGCGGGAACTGAATCAGGGCCTCTCCGGACCGCAGGCCGACGCTCTAACCGCTGAGCCAAACCAGCCAGGGCAATTGAGCTTTTTTAATATGGCTAGTGCCACCCAGGAGCTGGATTTTTTATTGCATTTCTTTCTTTCCTTTTTTTTTTCCTTCTATTTTTATTTTTTCTTTTTCTAAAATTAATTAATTAATTTATTTTTGTTACAGATGTTTCTCCTTTTTCCCCTCTGGTACCTCCCTCCCCCTCCCTCCCTGCCCTGTCCCCAGCTCTGTTGTCCATGTCCATTGTTCATATTGCATTTATTTCAATTAATTTCAAAGTAGACATGTGTTGGGTGCCTATTTTGGACACAGCAACCTAGTGTCATCCTCATGTGATATCACCTGGGCCCCTAGCACCCAAATTTATATCTCCAGCTTGGACCTCTCCTTGAAACTGCAAACCAGTTCATCCAACTGCCCAGTTGACTGCTCCATGTGGATGTCTAACAGGCTTTGAATCATTTTCTCTCCCTAAAATTGTTCGGCACTGCACAAATACTACCTGCTTTTCCTGGCAAGTGCAGTTGCAGACCAGGAAAGTCCAGAGAGGGGAAACCCTTGCCCCCATCGGCCAACAGGTTTGCAGGCTAGAGATCTCTCCCAACTCCAAGTGGGGCAGGTTAGCTAGGGAGCAGGACTTTACCCCAGCCTGTGGAGCCCTGACCAGCTTCCCTTTCCTTCTCAGATCACCAGCCACCAGGGCCATATGCCCGCTCCACTGATGATGAAAGACTCACAGCCAAGTATCCTCTGAGCAGGGACAAGATGGGAAGCCGGCAGGAAAGAGCTGACGAGGGGCCCCCCTGCCCGTCCTCTTCTCCTCACAACAGCTCTTCCCCAACCCCCTGGCAGAACAGAAAGTGCCTCAGCCCCTTGGCTTTCTGCTCCTGTCCCCTACCCACTCCCATCTCCAAAGAACTCCCATTCCGCCTTCACCGGCTCTGTCCTGGGTATCCATTTCTCCTGCCTCCACATTACCTGTTCAGCTATGGGACCCCACCTTCTGCCCAATGTCACCCCCTCTTCATGTTGCCCCAAGACACCTCCTACCCCACCAGGGCTGTGCCCAGCATGCTAATGAGTGTCAGTGATGCTGGGCACTACAGCATCTGGGGGGAGACTCTCTGTCCCTACCCAGGGGCCTCCCAAGCCTCTGGCCAAACCAAACTTTCCCAGGCCTGGATTCCAGGCCCTGGAGCTGCCAGGACCTACTCCCCAGGGCCAGAGCATGCTAGTAGGGTGGCTCCAGCAAAACAGGCCCTACTGGGCAAACGGGCCCCACTGGGCTCCCGGGAAGCCCTGCCTTACCCGCTGAAGAAAGAGAACGGCAAAATCCTGTATGAATGCAACGTGTGCAGCAAGAGTTTCGGGCAGCTCTCCAACCTCAAGGTATGGGCCTCCTGGGCTCCGCTGCCCACCCCCAGCATCCTTCAATGACCTCCCACCCTTCCTGCTTCTAGCATCAAAGACCTTAAAGCCAGAGGGAACTTCTGGGCAGGGTCTAGGCTGTGACCTTGGATGGTTCGTTTGTAGAGAGAAGATACAAGATGGCTACCAAAGTCCTCTCCACCCTAAAAGACTGTCTATAAAATAATCTCATTTAAGTTTAAAATGAAGAAACTGAAGCTCCTTATGGGAAGTTTGCCCAAGGTCACTTTTATTTAATAATGGAGTTAGGCCTTGATCTCAGCCTCTCAGCATCTTGAGCAAAGCCCCTTCCTGAACATTTGTCCTTTCTGGATTCCCAGTTATGCCTCCTCGTGTTTATTTGTTTGAGGTTCAGTAGGGGGACCGGTGGATTTTAGTGAGTTTAGACCACAGAATCTGCAACTAGCCCACAGATCAGTGCCGGAGCCCTTGGTGTCCATCAGGGGGCGACCGTGGGCACACCTGTGTGTGTCAGCAAAGATGGGCAGCTATGCACAAGTTGACACTGCTGAAGTTGAGGATGGGTTATGATTATTGCGGGGAGATCCCTTCTTGATCCTCTAGGGCATGAGTTATTTAAATTTAATGAGCCTCAAACCACCAAAGGAGCTAGTAAACATGCAGATTCTTAGACCCCAGCCCAGAGATTCTTATTCAGCTGGTCAGGGTGGGGCCTGAGAATCTGCAGTTCTAACATACTCCTGCTGATGCTGCTGGTCTGTGGACCACACTTTGAGAAGGGTTGCCCCTTTACCTGGCCTTCTGACCACTGCCATTCCCCGCTCCCTCAGGAGAGCAGAAAGAAGGATTATCCTGCCGAATGGAAGAGAGGCCCTAAGGGGGGCGGGGGGTGACAGAGAGGCAAGCGGATTGAGAGGCCTTGATGCCAAAATGAGATCCTGTGGAGGTGTGGGTACAGATTCAGAGGATCCCAGGCCCTGCTGGGGGGCTTTTATCAGTTGGTATCATTTCTCCCACGTCTGGCTTAGGTCCATCTGCGTGTACACAGTGGGGAGCGCCCGTTTCAGTGTGCCCTGTGCCAGAAGAGCTTCACCCAGTTTGCCCACCTGCAGAAGCACCACCTGGTGCATACGGGGGAGCGGCCCCACAAGTGCCCGGTAAGACCCCCCCCCCCCCGTCCCTTGTACTCCTGCAGGCAGGTGAGGAAGGAGTTGCAGATTCCTGGGGGGATGGCACCTGTAGCCCCCATTCCCAATCCTCCTGAGCAAGTAGAGACTGGACAGGAGGCGAGAGTAGGAATGGGGAGGGAGGTGAAAATAACCCGTCTTAGCCTGAAAGGGCCAGGATGTGATATTGGAGGTCACTCCTGGGGTCTGGAGGGGGGAATAGAGGGACAAATCTATGGAGGGAGGATAATAAAGTTGGGGGATATTGAGGAATGGATACCCATTGCCTTCTTTCCAGCATTGCTGGAGGAGTTAAAGCTATAATGTGTGCAAAGTATACAAACACTGCTTATAAATAACATAAGCTCAATGTTAGCTCTCTCCTGCCTCTCTACATAATGTCCCAGAAGCGGGGAATGGCCCCTTGGGAGGCCAGAAGGGGAGGGACCCTTCCCTGTTTTACAAAAGCAGAAATGAAAGCAGCATAGTGGTTATATGTCTGGGGTACATGGGTTCAAATCCTTGCTCTGCCTCCAACTTGCTGTGTGACCTTTGGCTAGTGGCTTCACTCCTCTGAGCTTCTGCTTTCTCACTGTCATACAGGAGTTGTACTAGTACTTAGTCATGCTTCTCCAGGGTCCTGGGAAAGACTGTGAGACCAATTCCTAGCATGTGGCTGCTCCCAGGAAATGTTCATTATGCCCACTCAAGCTGCAGCCCTACTCATAAAGGTTCCACGTGGTTATCTCATTCAATCTATCATACCGACGAGGTTAAGTATTAATAGTTACATGTTACCAGTAAGAAAAGCAAGGCTCAGAGAGGGGAAGTCACCTATACAAGGTCATGCAGGGAGTAAAAGAACCAGGATACTAACCCACGTTTGCCTGGCTCCAATGTGCCAGACACTGGGGTCCCAGGGTGGAATCCTGGGGCAAGGGGAGCTTCTGAGCCTGCATTAGAGGAGGGTGGGGAGAGAGTAAAGAGGGGGAGCAGGGATCCTGAGCCAGCTGGGTGGGCAGAACTGACTCCAGTGCTCATTTCCATCAGATGTGCCACAAGCGTTTCAGTAGCTCCAGCAACCTCAAGACTCACCTGCGCCTGCACTCAGGGACCCGGACGATCCAGTGCAGCGTCTGCCCAAGTCGCTGCACCCAACACGTTCACTTGAAGTTGCACCATCGGCTGCACACTGCACCGCCCTGTAGCCTAGCTCATACCCACCTGCCTCTGGAGTCTCTCACCTGCCTTGCCCGATGGCACCAAGGGGCACTAAATCTTGTGATGGCGCCATCAGAGAGGCAGATGGGCTGGAGTGCAGACAAGATCAAGGTGTCCTTGGCATCTCAGGGAAAGCAAGGACAGCCAGCCTGAGCAGTGGTGTCAGGGCTGCTCTGGGGAGGGGGCAGGGGCAAAGCAATTAAAGGATTTTCTGTACAACCAGTTGAGGCCTCTTGAGCTTTAACAGTGGAGGGGGAAGCCACCATGTATTTGCCAGACATTACACCTCACCTTGGAGCAGGTCAAGAGACAGGCAGGAAGAGTGCCTGCAGTCATCTACCTCTGGCTTCGGTTTGGGTACTGCTACCTCTTGGGACCAAACCCTTCATCTCATCTCACCAATGGACAGTCCAGCCTTCCAGGACTGCAAGGTGCAGACTGTGCTGCCAAGCAGGGGGCACATTGCCCTCTCATCTGTCCAGACTTCTGTCTGCTGCTTCCCACCACCTTCTTGTCTTAGTTCTTAGGAGGCCATGGTACCCCTCAACTGGTTACTCCCTGCCATGCATAGCCTGTACATGCCAGGACTGAGCCCCTTGTGTGGGTAGACAGGCAGGAACACAGGATGTCACTGTCCATCATGACCCAGAAGCATAATGTCCCATGTGCCAGGACCAGAGGGCAAAGGGCTAAGGAGTTGTTGGGCTCATGGAAGGGGTAGAGACCCTGCAAGGACTACAGGCAAGAAGAACTGGCAAAGAGAGCCTGGGGAACTGAGACTCTCCTGATGGACTTTCTTCCTGAAATCCTAGAGGATCCCCTCAAATGCACAAGGTGTTCCCTGGCTCCACTCGAGAGTTACAGAGGCAGCAACAGGTGGGAAAGGGCACTGCCTGGGAGGCAGAAGGCCCAGGTTACATCACAGTCAACGGTAGCTGTTATTAAATAATAATAGCTGGACAACTTCCAGAAGGGGGCGCAATTCTCAAGCATGTGAGTTGCAGAGCGGTTTCTCCACCAGGGTACTGGGTGAGATTACGGCTGTGTCGTAGGTCTCCAGGACAGAGAGAGAACTCTCATAGGGAGCCCACCATGGCAGAGCAATGAGAGGGTTGGCTTCGGTCCCCACCGGTAAGCAAGGTCCGGGTTCCAAGCCCACCCGGTCACCTCTTTGGCTCCACGCCAGATGCCAACCACTGGGTAAGGCCCCGCCCACTCTCCAAGACCACGCCCCTCGCGCACATACCCCTCCTTCTTGGGGGAAGACCCTTCGCTCAGTCCCGCCTCCTGGCCCCAGCTCATCCCGGCCTCTATTTCCCGGTCCACCTCTGTTAGACCCAGCTCGGGGCTTGCCTGTGTCTGTTGGCTCCTGCGCCTCCACGAGACCTAAAGTAGCGCAAACAGGGTCTCAGGGAAAGGGGCTCAAGCGTAGCGACCTAGGGGCTGGAGCCCGGGGTGGGGGCGACCCCTGCAAAGCGCACTCCCTGCCCCCAAGTATGGGCAGCTGGGTCGTTCCCCCGCCCGCGGGCGGGGCAGCTGTTTGCTCTGGGGGACGGGCCGGAGTGGGCGGTTCTCCGCAAATGAGCGGATCCGGGTGGGCCAGGCGGTCGGGAGCAGTCAGGTGCCCAGACGCCCCGAGCCCGGGGCCTTGCCCTCGCCATGGCAGAGCGGCGCGAGGGCCTGGGGACCCGCCTGGCCCGTCGCCTGGCCAGGTTAGGGGTCCACAGGGAGCGCAGGGGGAAGCGAACCCCGGAGGAGTCCAGAGCCCGAGATAGGTGAGGGATGGAGGAGGCCCGCGTGGGGTGTCCTGGGGTGTGTGTGTGTGCCTTAGAGTGTAGTGGGTATTAAAATAAGCGTATGTGAGTGTCTCGGAGCATTAAAATATGTCGATTTTGGATATGTAAATGTGAAGACGGTCTTTATCAAGTCCCAGCGCTCTTAAAATTTTAAAACAACTTTTGCTATTTCCTCAGTCAGGCTAACTGCCTGCAGACCATGGTTTCTTCTCCGGAGGAGACAGTTTCAAGGCAAAGATAGTCCCTCCTTCCGCCTCTGTGGACTTTGATTCTCACATCACAGGCCAGTTTCCCTCTGGTTTTCGTGTCGCTTTGTCAGAAGTATGACAGGTTCCTGCGTTGTTGTAGGTTGCACTTTACTTGCCCTTAGATGCCACGGAGAGGTTTTCCCTGTCATCCCAGATTGTAATAACAACCAACCTTTATTTGCCACTTGCTTAGTGCTTTACTTGAATTATCTCATTTAATCCTTACACCAGCCCTATGAGACAGGTATTCTGTGATTCACATATGGAAATGGAGGCTCAGAGAGGTAAAGGCACCTATCCAACGTCACCACTGGGAAGTGGCGGGGCTGCAGTACAAGCTCAAGCAGTCTGAATGCAGAGCTCACCCCTGAAGCCCTGGGCGGCTCTGTTGCCTTGAGAGATGGAAGGACTGCAAGCCAGGGGGCCTGAGCTCTGTCCTAACCCTAGGTGCCACTGGCCATCCGACCTTGAACAAATTACTTCTTTCAGAGCCCATTGACCGGTAGCTGATGTTTGAGTGGGAGGAAAATGTCTCTGTGGATGGCCAGGTCAAATGACAGAGGGAATAGTGAAGAGGCTCCTGGGCTCTCTATCCGAAAAGAGGGTGGGGTGTTTGTGTGTCTGTACAGTTACCCAGCAATTTGTTCTGATTTTATCATGACAACTATCTTCAGCTCACCCTGGAAGGAATGGGGGCGTGGTGGGGGCAGAGTGAGGGGAAAGGTTTGTACTGCTTTCTCACCCCAAAGAGAGAGGGGAGGGGAGGGCTTAGCCACCCTATACTGGGAAGCCTGGGTGGCCTGGGGGGAGGTGCCCACACCCTGACAGTACCTTGCCCTACCCCACTGGAAGACACGCCCTCTCCCTTTACCCTGTCTGGCAGGAACCTGCCCTGTAGGCTCAGGTGGCACTGCCCCTCCCTTTCCACACTTGAGAGGAGGTGGGGTTGGGGATGTGGAGGGCAGGGGAGGGACTGCGTAGGCTCCTGCACTAGCATGATGACACATCCCATGTAAGCACTTGGATTCAGTTCTCACCAGCCATGAGAACGGGACTGAAGCATGAGCCTCTGATTCCTGTTGATTTCCTGGGGTGGAGGTCAGAGTGCATAGAGGAGAGAGGCAAGACACATCCTCATCTTGCCCCCCGTTAGCATGGTGATGTCCAACCAGCCTTTGAAGTGGGATGGTCCTAGTGTCTTAATTTCAAGGCTCATTAGCTGTGTGACTATAGGCAAATTATTTCACTCTCTAGGCCTCAGTTACCTTATCTGAAATATGGGGCACTACTATCCACCTTTTAGGATTATTGTGAGGCTTAAAGGAGCACAATACTTAATGCTAAGCCTGGCACAGGGAGGGCTTCAGCAAATGTCGAGCTTTTGAATTATCGGGTACTGTCCTTTTTCTGTATTCTGGCCCCGATAAGGCCTAGTCCTCACCTTCTCACAAGCCCATCCCTGTCTCTTTCTCTGTCTCTGGGGGTGGAGTGGACAGTTGGGGGAGGGAGCAGAGAAGAAGCTGCTGTATAGGCTACCCCCTTTCCCCAGGTTTCAGGAGCTCATGGACCGTGGGCTCAGAGAAGCGGGGGAGGGCCGATGGGTCGGATCTTGGGGTGGGAGAGAAGGCTACCTTTCTCCCTTCCCCCTGTGCTTCCTTTCCAGGCCCTGGGGTGGCCAGAGCTGCCCTGACCTGGCCCAGGGCCAGGGCAGCACCAACGATGTCAGCCTTAAGGTAGGAGAGAATGCAAAGGGGAGGCAAGGAGGAGCCAGAAGGTCAGGGAGGGGCAGACCCTGAAAACCCTGACTCACAAGTCAGGCAACTGGAGTTCTCTAGTCCTCCCTCTGCCACTGATTCACTGGGTGATCCTGGGCAGATCACTCCTCACCTCTGAACCTCAGTTTCTCCATCTGCAAAATGGGGACAATAATGCCTCTCAGGGCTGCTGTGAGAAATGAGGTAATGGATGTAGAACATCCTGCATGGGACCTAGATGCTCAAGAAACATGAGCTTCCTAATGCTGGGCCCCAGGAAGGCATGTAGGGTCTGCACCTGTTCTCAGGACCCCCTTTTCCACACTTCCTGCTTTAGTTTGACCTCCTCCCACCTTTGGTCCTTTTAACCACGTTCTGGCATGAACTCCTGGGGGTGACACTGGGCCAGTGGCTTAACCTCCTGGCCACAGTTTTGCCAGCTGAGGCATGGATTGGGCAATACTGGGTGTCCTCCCCTTGGAGTTGGCTCAAGCAGCCATATGTCTCTGTGGTCCGGAATAATTACTGGTGCTTAATTGAGTACTCGTTATGTGCCGGTGCTCTGCATAGATTATCTCATGAAATCTTCACAGCAATCCCAGAAAGCAGGTACTGTTATCATCGTGCCAGTTTTACACGCGGGGAAACCAAGATGGAGGAGGTATTGCATCTAGGAAGTAGCAGAGCTAGGATTCAAGTCCAAGTTGCCTCCCTCCAGGCCCCCACGTGAATCACTCTCCTCTCTGTCTCTTGAGGTGTTCTGTCCCTGGTGAATGAGAGGCTGCATCTATTCCATAAACTGAGGCATTGGGGATCAAGGGTTCCTATTAGAAGGAATTTTGACCCCAGACTTGTCTCCTCTGTTGCCAAGAGCATAAACCTGTCCTTGAAAACTGGTGATTGGGGCTGAGGGGCAGCGTCCTTATGGTTCTGGGATCCTGGATCCTTTCCCCTCACCTGGGATCCTTTCCCACAGCCAGACTTGGCCCCAGGGGAAAACAGCAGACACAGGTGGAGTTTGTCTCATTTTCAGGGGAACCCTCTTCCCTAACTCCCTCATGTCCCAGGTACAGCTCTATGCCCAGGTGCCTGGGAATCTCAGGTGGGAGGGTCCTGGGGAGGTGGCTGCAGTCTCTGGAAGCCTGCAGCGGGCAGAGGCCATGGGCACTTGTGGCAGGCTTGCCCACGAATTCCCTAATCCTCAGGGCAGCTGATTCCACAGGGCCAGAGACCTGTGAATGCCTGGGAAAGCAGCAGTTGGCCTGAGAGTTGGGCCCTCACGTGTAACCTTACTCATGTCAGTGTCCTCTTGGGGTCTCACTTTCCTCACATGTAGAATGGCAGGGAGAGAGGGAGTTAAATGCTGAAGGGCCTTCCCCAAGCTCTGCCCCTTTGTCCAGCGCTC